ATTTTATTTTTTTTGGGGGGGGGGCTCCGTATTATAATTATAGTTCAATATACCCCTGAAACCCTATTCCAATTGTTAAGGCCCCTACATTACTTCCATCTGGATGTTCGTTTGACGGTGGACAAGGCTAGCGAGTCCATCTTGTGTATCGGCTCAAAGTGGCAGCCCACGTGCCACCTTTCATGTATGGGCGGGCTCGGATGCCTTTGCCTGAACAACGCCGGAAGACCCTAGACAACACCTATAAAGGGGCCCGCCGACCATGTAAGAATTCCCGGCCCCAAGTGCTTTGGGATAGGAGGGGAGGGTAGACCCATGGCTTCAACCAGGGGTCTGCAATATCAGCATACGAGAGCTGAGGTGGATCAGCTCCTCATGCACACCGTCTGGATTCCGGATTGGCCCGGGCCCTCAGTGAAACGGCTCCTTGCTTGAGTAGGAGTTTTGTGGGCTTAAAACCTTAAGGGAGTTTACGAACCAGGGTTCCACAGTAATCATAAAACTTCTTAGCCCCTAAACCCTAAACGCCAAACCCTAAGGTCACTTCTCCTGCTGGGCTCGTCCTCCGGAGCACAAATCAGCTTGCTCACCAGCAGGGAGCCAAGTCAAGTCCTTGTGCATAGGGGTTTTGGGTTTAGGGTTTAGGTGTTTCAGGTTTTATTGTGTGTGTGTGTGTGGCTTTACAGGGTTGTTGGATGGCTATGGCTTCACAGGGGTTTAAGCGACTGCCCCTAAGCACTACAATAGGGTGTTGCGGTTTGATTGTGCATGGTGTACAAGGGTATTTTACAATTCTTTTTTGAGATCTATATATCACCCAGAAACCCCGCATCCTTGTGGAGGGGCTCCGTGTAAACATTGGGATTTAGATGGTGTTCTGTGATCCCTCTCACAAAAAGGGCTCTGCGATTTCCCAAGTATTTCAGTGTCTGCAAACCAACCCTTAAACCCTCAACCCTAGACCCTGAACAAGATTGTAGGAGCAGCATCTATGATCAGGTACAGGATTCATAGGGCTGGTTTAGGGTTCAGGGTCTAGGGCCTTGGGTCTAAGGCTTCATTAAGGCGTAGGGTCTATGTTGGTGTTTATCAGTGGGTTTTAATTATATGGTTGTGAGACATTGGCAACATGAGCCACCTTGAGGGCGACACCAACTTTTGGGGGTTCAGGGTTTAGTTAGGGTTTAGGGGGCAAGCAAGTGCTTCAAGTTGGAGTGTGCGGAGAGAGTTTGGGGGAGGAAACTCCAAGGAGGAAATGCTGGAGCCACTCCGAAACCACAGCAACCCTAATTTAAAGGAAACTACAGG